TCTCGTTGGGATTACACGAAGAAGAGTCTTCAAAGGTAAAATCCAACATTCTTCTCTGTTTTATATTTTTTTGTGTTTTAAATTTCGAAAGAAACTCAAKARYGCGTTCTACTRCTTCCACTTSAGGATTCACATCATTTAAGCTCGAAAGGGGAGATGGACAGAAGAACTGCCAGAAGTATTGTGGTTGTACTGCACGACTCTAAGAGGTTCCACTGGTGAAACTCCATCCGAACTAGCTTTCGGATCGGAGGCTGTGGTTCTAGTGGAGTTGGGCATTCCGACATAGAGGATCGAGAGTACGAAACCCTTGGATGATGAAGCTCTCCTCTTGAACCTTATATTTCCTGGACGAGCAAAGAGAGTCCTCACAAATCCGACTCGCTGAATATCAAAATTGGGTGGATCGATAGTTTAACACCTGTGTCAAACCTCGTTCGTTCAAAGTCGGACAACTTGTTCTTCGGAGGAAGCAACAACATATGAGAGCCTTAGCACCAGTTTGGGAAGCCCCCTTCGAGGTCAAAACCACCATGCGACCTGACATTTATATGTTCATAGACCTCTCTGGCAAGCTCATTCCACACCTATAGAATGTCGAGTATTTAAAACAATATTTTTACTGAATTGTAACACAACCCTCACCTAAGAAAATGTAAAGAAGTTTAGTTGAAAATAAGAAAAAAGTTTAAAGCCCATTTAAGCTATGCCCATGTTCCAAGAATAGCTATTGCTCAAATCAAGCCATATGGTTTCTCGATGAATCCTAATCCTACCATTAGAAGTTATTCTTGCTATGTCTTGTATGACTTTAATCCTTAATAATTTTTAGTTAAGTCTTGTAAGATGTCTCAAACTCTTACTGTTAAAGCTAAAACTTCTTAACATGTCTCAAGTTCTTAATTAAATCTAAATCCTTGCTATACTTGGTATGACTCTGTATTTTAACAATTAAGATGTCTTAAATAATTTATAAGCTAAATTGTTGCCAAGACAAAGTAAAGGAAGTCCAAAAATCTTCATTCATTAAATTAATGGATCGAGGTGTATATGCCCTGAC